ACTGTAGCAAAACTCGAATTCTAAACTCAAATTAGTGAAATGAACGGGGTCTAAAAAAATCAGGCACAGGTGTGATTAGTACACTTGTCAAAGCTAAACACAAATTCTACAAAATTAAAAGAACCAAACTCAAAAGTACTAAAAAGAATACTTTTTAAAACTTGTTGATGTGACAAATAGACACCATGATTCAAGAGCACCACAAAAATAAATAGGATATTCTGCACATTTATCCTTTTATTTGTGGGGGATTTGACAACCCGTTAAATTTTTAATCAATCAATCTTGTTACGATTTTTTTTATCAGATTTAAGGATTGAGAGGTATAGAGCTGAGAGGTATAGAGCTGAGAGTTTGTTGTCACGACTCTAAAGATGAGACTGTAATTATTGAAATTTAATAACAAAAAATCAACTTAATTAAATTAGATTAATTAACAAAAACCCTAAAAATAAATACGTAAATATCAAAATATGTTGTTCCGGAGTTTTTTTTACAAATAATATTAAAATAGTCCGTAATATTCAAAATTAATACAACACTACGATAATGCCGACCAATACAAATCATATACAGGAATATAGTACAACTTTAGAATTAAAACTGTAAAATCAAAGATGAAACAAGCCACCTCATATCTTGAGCCTTCAATCCGTTGGCATCAGCTTACCATGCAGCAAATCAAACGGCTAACTCTGGAGGGGAAAAACATTTAAAATAGGGGTGAGCCGAATGCTTAGTAGGAAGGAAACATGGTACGACAATAAGATAAGAATATGGACGATAATTACAGTAACTGAAATATCGATTTAAAACTGTGGCACATGTAAGAGAAATCAGCTCAAACCCGTGAGTCTTAGTAGATGCCATCAAACGCAAAATGGGTTGATAGCCCAGTATCTCAAAACTCCTCTAAAATGTCATATCATTTTCAAATTCATTTCAAAGTGATAGGACATCTATCACCCTTGTAATCCACAAAATACTAGATATTTGTATTTATGTTTCAACGCTAGAACACCCTAGAAAAAGGAGGATAAAAGAAATATAAAGATCTTATGCTAGTAGGTTGAAATGCTTTGTCAAAATACCGACACATCATTTAGTGTAAGTGCAAGGCCAAATCACCACTCACGTTGTGGAGTGGCCCGTATGGGTTTCGAGACCTGCCCCAAATGATATGATTTCTATATCCCGATCTCTATGGCCATCATGCTTAATTAATGAATTGGCTGTTTAAACGCTTACATGGACAACGTTTACAAACTTACATATATCATGCTCGAATTATTTCAATTCGAGACTTAATCTTTTCCTAAAATTTACTTTCGAGAACCATGATTCACAAAAGCGCACATGATACATATACATATTCTTTTTTGTGAATCGTTTAGAAATCTCAACATCGAGGAATCTGACTTTTTCACTATAAGGTGAAAATCCATAACGTATCTCTAAAAGGGGAGAGGAATACAACCTCATGCTTATATAAGGTTAAAACTCAAGAAGTATGGAAAATTTTAACTAAAAATCAAGTTTTCAAAAGTTTTTGGGCGGAAACAAGTGTCACTGGTCCGGTGGTGTGTAGCTTGGTCTCCCGGTGCTGGCGACCAGTGATGTTCCGCAGACAGAAACAGCTCACCATTTTGGCGAGGAACAATGCTGGAAACCTGTATTTTGAATGGATTTTGAAATAAACTCATAGAGAATTACTTTAAACAATTCTTTAGACACCAAATCAGGGTTGGAGGACCAAAACCTACATGTAATCCACCATACTTCTTCATAAACCAGGTTCAAAACCATTACACATCAAGAAAATCAGATTTAAGAATTCAAACCTCTAAAATTCAGATTTTCAACTAGTTCAAGAGAAATTCCAAGTTATCAAGAGGTGTTCATCAATTTCCTTCTCATCAATAATAAGTTTTAATCAAAGTAAGAGAAGAATTCAAATTTAAACCCAATGAGGAGAAAAAGAGGAAAAACCCTACCTCAGAAATAGAAGCATCTTCCTCAGAATTTCTTTGGGGGCTTTGCATCTCGACATCGTCAATCACCACCACCGGAGATGGCGGCTCATGGCCTGGGAGCTCCGGTGAGCTACCAGGTATGACGAATTTCCATATTCAATATGAGTTTTATCTCATTCTCCTCTTCGTTGTGAACTCATAGAAACAAGAATCACTCAATTCCAATCAAGAATGAGTGAGTTATTGAATTTTGAAATTGAAAAAATTTTAGAAGTTTGGAGAGAGAGAGTTCGGTGAAGGAGAGAGAAAAATCGAGAGGGAGAGGGAGAAAGAGCACGTGGAAGAGAGGGAGAAGGGGAAAATAAATAGGAAAAAGAGAAAAGAAAGAAAAGAAAGAAAATGAAAATGAAAAAGAAAAAATGAGCTTGAGTTTGCTGTGCAAATGTGATAATTAAACTTCAAAGCCCAATCTAATTAAAATATGAAGTGGCCCATAATTCTTGTTCTGAAAAATTAGCTACCAACACTTTAAACCGTTCGAGGTACAGAAGCGTCAATTTCAAAAAAAATATTTTTAAAGGAGAAAAAGTCATTTATGTGATAAATATAACTGAAAATTTTTCACTAATATTGTATTAATTAACACTGACCATCAGATTAAATTAATTAATCTCAATTAATTTGACCGGGTGTTACGTTTGTGTTACGTTTTGAAGTGAGATGTTGAAATTTTCAATGAAACATGTTTTTTGGTCACCAATTTAACACAATCATCAACAAAATGAGACACATTGCAACTGCTTCACAAGTTTAGGAGACACAAATTGTTAAACCACCTTGTTCATTTATATTTTTTGAGTTATGGTGATTTAAGTTTAGATCTTATTTTGAGTTAATATGTATATTTGAGTATGGTTTGAGTTGGGACTCTAATTTGAGTTTGTGTTTGGATGTGCACATTTTGAGTTATGGTTTGAATTGAGAACTTATTTGAGTTTGTGTTTGGGTGTGTCAAAACTTGAATTTGTATTTGGATAATATTTTAATTAAAAGTCAATGGTGATGGAAAATTTTAATAGGGTATATGGGTGGGGTTTTATTCGTCTCTTTGTTGTGAACGCATAGAAAAAAAAATTCATCTCAATCGGAATTAAAACGAAAGAGTTATAACATTTTTAAGAATAGAAAAAATATTGTCAATTAATTTGAGTTTGAGTTTAGGAACTTGAGTTGAATGGAGAACTTGAACTTAAATTTTAGCTTTAAACTTAAGTTAAAACTCAAGTTCGAACTCAAACTACAAAATAATATAAACTTAAATAAAATTGTAACTTTAGTTCAACTTTTTTTTGAGTTTAGTCGTAAATGAACAAACTCTGTAATTTCGAGGGGCAAATGTGCGGATAACCAAAATAAATAAATAAATAAATAAAGCTCTTCCTATGTATATTGATGCAGACCCCATAAATCAACAAAATAACAAAATAGTCCCTAGATCAGCCGAAATTAATTGAAAACGGCAAAAACCATTCATAACTGTCCAACCTGTCAACCAAAACAAAAAATATGTGTACGATGAGGCAAGCACGACAGGCACGATCCTAATCGGAGAGTAATAGTCAATGAAATACTTTACACAATTTACTATTTTATTTAATTTTTTACATTATTTACTAATTATTGTTTGAAGAATCCCGTTTTTAAATAAGAGCTAAGCTGGCGGGTAAAGTTGGTTCTGGTTGGCAGAATTCACATGCTTTCACTTGTAATCATTTAATCAAAACAGCTAAAGAGAAAAATCGAAAAAAAGAAGGAAAAAAGGAGCTTAAAGAAAAATACGTAAACCAAAAAAGTTGGAACATCAACGAGAAGAAGGAGAAAAACAGAAGAAGAATCACGAACCACCTTGAAAAATATAGATACATACATAAACATATATATATATATATATATGTAGTGTGTGTGTGTATATATATACATTATATGGCCTACCCGTTATGCCTTTATATATGATGATCTAACTTTTTTGCTGAAAAAACTTTCCCAAAAGTTTCTATTCGATTGGATTCTTGGAAACAAAATAAAAGCTTTGATTGAGAGCATCTGGAGTTAAGAAAGTGAGAATAGCTTTTTTTTTTTCTCTCTCTCTCTCTCTCCTTTTCTTCTTCCTCGTCTATTGTTTATTAAATAGAGCTCCTTTTGATCTTCCATTCCATGGACTTTTCTATGAAAAGAAGAACTCTTCTTAAGGTTATCGTCCTTGGGGATAGTGGGTACGTGTTACTTTTTTTTATTTCCATTTTTATTCTTGTATTTTTCTGGAATATTCTGAAGTTCTTTTTTTTTTTTTTGTCTGTTTTGATTTTCAGGGTGGGGAAGACTTCTTTAATGAATCAGTATCCTTTACATTCTTGGATATATTTTTTTCTGCATTTTGTAGATGTTATGTCATCTTCTTCTATTACTTAATCATATGCATTGAAGTTTTTAAGGAGAGAATTTGATGAACAATGTAGTGGTTATGTTCACATTCATGTGTAAAATGGTTATTTTGGCAATTCCCAAATGAGACAATAATTAGGGGACTTAAAAAGATATAAAAAGTTACAATGGACCATTATAAAATTTGGTGATTTTGATCATTATAGTTCTATTATTATTTGATCATGCCTAGTACTTCTAATGTGATGAAAGAAAGTTTGTCCTTTTTGTTAATTACTATCACCCCATAAAAGGGAAAAAAAAAATGATTAGTAAGGAATTCTTACTCTTTACATGTTCTTGAGCTCCTCTGGAATTCAAACAAAAATAGTAGTAATTTGTAAGATGATGATGTCCCTCACAAAGAAAGGAATGACAAAAAATAAAAATAAAAAATCAAGTCATTTGCTTTTCTTCTGAATTCAGACTATTGATTCCTTCTGTGGGTGCTTAGCTAGCCATATATATATACGCATATATACATATATATTTATATACACAAATATTTTGCAATTTCACAAGGAAATGAAAACTAGAAAACAATAATAACAATTAAAAAAAAAAGATTTTAGAGCTATCTGAATTTGTAGAGTTTAGCACCATTCAAGTGCATCCTTAAATGCTTGTTCAGATATGTGTATAAAAAGTTCAGTCAACAGTATAAGCCTACAATAGGTGCTGATTTTATGACAAAGGAACTACAGACTGATGACAAATTGGTGACTTTGCAAGTGAGAAGTATTAAGTTATAACACCCTAAAGAAAATACATAATTATTCTAATCTGAAGTTGATTTTATTTCTGCGAATTTACAGATTTGGGACACAGCAGGCCAAGAAAGGTTCCAAAGCCTTGGTTCTGCATTTTACAGAGGAGCAGATTGTTGTATTCTTGTATATGATGTGAATGTTCCTAAGTCATTTGAGACTCTCCATAATTGGCATGAAGAATTTCTCAAACAGGTCAGTTTCAAAGTCATTTTTCACATCATTTGGTTACAGGGTTTAATTGGTTTTACATGGCCATGAAGAATGTTTAGTTTCATTACCGAATGAAAGCTGTTATTAAAACTGAAATAACTACCAATATTTGACTTCTGAGTCTAATGCCTATCTTCCTGTTTCTGCCTTTAAGCATACATTGTGAATCTTTATTTTGAGACACGGATTTTTAGTCGGTTATGATGAGCAAAAAATGATAAACCTGGTAAACTATTTAGGATTTTCCATCCACGTCAAGTATGTTGAATCAAGATGAGAGTCTGATAACCACTGATGGTGGTCACATAGCAACAAAGGGATGATCGCTCCGCGGCTTTCTCTCCCATCTGTCAAACATTTGATTCTTTGCGTGCACTTTTTCGTTTGAAATAGTGAGGTTGCGTGTTTGACATAGTTGAACCTCTAAAATGGTATGGTTGATTAGAGTGTCGACTGGTCTCCTTTTCATTCCACCTGTAGTCCCAATAGATTCTAAAAGTGACGTTAAGTGGGGCAACTAGACATTACCGATTCTTTGAAAAAAGAAAGAAAAAAAAAAGATGAGTCTAATATCTCATGTCACATCTCTTAAGTTATTCACCTGGTCTTAATTCCAATTGTCGACACTTCATTGTTGATTTTCAGGCATTCCAATTGTTATCTGCATTTTATCTGCATTCCTTGTGGTCACCTTGTCTTATTCCAATAGCTGACACTTGGATGTTGATTTTCAGGCAGATCCAGCGGACCCCGAGATCTTTCCCTTTGTGTTAGTCGGAAACAAGGTGGACATAGATGGCGGACACAGCCGAATGGTATGGATACTAGCACTTAGTGAACACTGAGTCCGTTTAGTTCGCCGATTTTAGTTTTTAATTCGAATTGATACGTGATTTTTTTTACTGTAGTAAAAAAGTTAAATCTGATTATTTTCTAAAACTTTTTACTGTAGCAAAACTTAAATTCTAAATTCGAATCGGTAAAATGAACGAGGTCTGAAAGTTTTCTAAGCTTTTGATCTTGAACTGAAATTTAAAAGCACCCTTGATGTGCAGGTTTCTGAGAGAAGAGCTAGGGAATGGTGCGCATCCAAGGGAAACATACCTTACTTTGAGACCTCGGCGAAGGAGAATCACAACGTCGATGAAGCGTTCCTATGTGCAGCGAAAACTTCGCTAGCCAATGAACACCAACAAGACATGTAAGCTTCACACCTTTCGGGACCCTTCTTTTTATGCCATTTTTGCCTTCTTTTAGATGTTCAATGTTTCTTGGTTCCTTTTTACATGGAAGTCATGAACTATAATGAATGGTGGTGATGTCCACCACTGTTCCATTTCTGCATCAAGAATTCTTGCTAATTCACGATATAAATGGAAACGCATTTGAACAGTGAATTAATTCTTTAATGAAAGGAAAAATTATGGTGATGTCCACCACTGTTCCATTTCTGCATCAAGAATTCTTGCTAATTCACTATATAAATAGAAACGCATTTGAACAGTGAATTAATTCTTTAATGAAAGGGAAAATTATGAGCGCGTTTGGAATTCGTTTTAAAATGATATTATTTTTTGTATGAAAATGAAAATGAAAACGTTTTCAATCTCAGACATAAATTATTTTTAAAAATGCGTTTAGTAGTTTTATCAAGAGATTATTTTCAGTGTAAAAAAACTCATTAATGTCTCTCTTTCTCTCTCTACTCGAGAGAGGAGAAAACGAAAACAAAAAATAAAAAACGACTAAAAGTCGTTTTTCATTTCTCTTTTATTTTACACTAAACTAAAAAATCGTTTTTATTTCTGTTTTTTATTTTTATTGCGCCAAACGTCATTTTAGAAATGTTATTATTATTATTTTTTTTTAAAAACGTGAAAAATAAAAACGGGATCAATTACTGTTTAGTAATTTGGAAAAGGGTCTTTCTAACCAGATTTTTGTACCTCTGTTGAATGTTGTTCCAGTTACTACCAAGGTATCTCCGAAACCGTTTCGGAGCCAGAACCAAGAGGAGGCTGTGCGTGCTAAATATTTGCTGACCAATAACTGGACCTATCTAATTGTGGACTCTTAAATTGCTAATCTTGTTCTAATTTGTTCATTCTTTCGGACAAATTGTATCGTTAATCTCTTGTCGATTAGCAACCGCCATGTAAGACGGTTAATTTTATTTTTTGTTAACCTTAAAATGCAAGATGATCTTGTTAAAGTATAAAATTATTGTTAGCTCACCTCCTAACAGTTTAAACTTTTAGGATGGGTTGGTAAACTAATATGGTATCAGAACAGGAGGTCCTGAGTTTAAACTCCTGTAATTACACTATTTATTTTCATTTAAATTGTCATCATGTGTTGAGTCTTTAATATATTTCGGGTTTAAATATTCACGTGTTAGGCTTTTTAATTAATTTACCCATACGATTATTCATTGTCCAACCCACACGTGAGAAAGAATGTTAAAATATAAAATTATTATTAATCTATCTTTGAGATAAATTAGTAAACTAACAAATTCAGTAGAAAGAATCTGCAAAGTCGTGAAACTCAATAAGCCATATAAACTTTTGTTTGGTTCCAAGGTCTGCTATGTTTACTTGTGGCAACCCAATGCACATGTAGGATACAGAGTTTGTTAGAGAATCATGACAAAATAAATAAATAAATAAAACTTAGAGTTGACTGTTAGATTATTTAATGCTTTCACCCCACTTGTTGAAAACTTAAAATGCCATATTTTCTGGCAAACAAATGGATTCAAAAAAAATTTTCTTGGATGGCAAAACTGGAAGCTTTTCACAGAGAACTGAAGTTATTTTTTGAGGATGAGTGTGTTTTCATACTATAATTAAGACTAGAGTATCTCGAAACCCTTAAAAGAAAAGTAGCAACAAAATAACGGGTTGGTGCTGCGGTTAGAATATTTCCAAACTATGAATAAGATTAGAATATCTCAAAAACCTTCAAAAAAATATATATATTAATAAATGATGGTACGACAATAAAGATGTCTTTATCTCTTCTCTTTATAAGATGTCTCAACATTTGAATCTTGACAGCTCCAATATAACGCTAGATGTCTTGTGTTATATTTTTCATGTTAACTAACTAACAACAATAATAATGGTATATGAATTCTCATGTCGTGCTTAGAAAAATGCTTAATTAAGACCCCGAATTTAAATTTTTAATTTGAGCTTATATATAATTTTATGTGAGAGTTTTTCATTATAACAGAAAAAAATTAAATATAATTTTTTGTGCAAGCTTTTAATTATAACAAAATTAAAATTAAAAACTCAAATTAATAAAATGAACGAGACATAATTGAGTATTGCTAAACGGCTCCGCAAGACACAAAAAATGAATCTCATTCTCTTTTGGGGCCCACGTGGGGTCACCCTTCTTGTCTACAAGAGAAAGAAAAATGCAGAAGGAAAGGTCGAAACCTATAAGGCTAGACTGGTAGATAAGGGATACACGCAAAAAGAGGGAATCGACTACGAGGAAATCTTTTTGCCTGTAGTCATGCTTAAGTCCATCCGCATTTTCTTATCCATTGTGACTGCTCTCGACTACGAGATCTGACAAATAGATGTCAAGACGGCGTTTTTGAACGGCCATCTTAAGGAAAGTATCTATATGGTACAACCATAAGGCTTTGGGGCTAAGGGTCAAGAAAGAAAAGTTTACAATTTGTTGAAATCCATTTATGGATTAAAGCAAGTTTCTCGTTCTTGGAACAAAAGATTTGACCAAGTGGTCAAGACTTTTGGATTTCAACAAAATATGGATGAACCTTGTGTTCATGAACATATTCAAGGGAGCTGCTCTACATTTTTGTAATTAATTGGTCCATACAATATATCTCCTAGTAAAACTACTTGATTAACTTTGATAGCTATAAATGTTTCTGTATTATAAAAGAGATTAGCTATAGCTTGATAACAAAATAGTATCTACTTTTCTCTTACATTTTGTTAATCCGCTATATTTACAAATTTCTTAAACAAAGCATAAAATATTGGTGTAGAATTTTGGGGAAGTTTGGCCACAAAAATATCTCCTCCTCTTCCATCAGTTAAGAGAAAAAGAACAGAGAGAACAAAATAAAATAAAAAAAAATTCATAAAAGAACCCGTGGACCTTGTTAAACACATGAATAAAATCAAGACCTGAAATCTCAATTTCGCACTTCAGAGATTCTTCCTCGACCGTCGGATCTGTTTCCACGAAAATCCATCAACTCAGTCAACGCAGACCATGGCGACTTTCAACGGTCAAGATCTTCCCGATCGAATTTAAATATATTGTCTCAAATCATAAATCTCTCATTTTTAACGAAGAGAGAGAGAGAGAGAGAGAGAGAGAGAGAAAGAGATTGTGTCGTTTACGTTTTACGTTTCTCTGCAATGGCGTTCTCTGCAATTACGTCCCGTTGCCCCTCCGTTCTTCGCTTGCCGAAAAACCCTCCGTCGACCTCTCTTCCTCGGAGCTCAGTTTCTTTCCGTTTCTCTCACCTAAAACTCAGCCATAGAAAACCCCTTTCAATTCGATCGGTTTCAATTCCAGGTACTAATTTTTTGTTCTTAGGGAAAAAAAATGAATTTCTTTTTCCCGGTATTCGTCTTTCAATTTATGTTTGGGCTTTTTATTGTTGATTGGAAACTTTTGGCTTTTGATTCCAGAAACCTCGATTGAAATTTGGTAGTTCTTGAATCTTATGTAGAAACGGGCTGCTTTTGTAGGAACTATATTGGTAGAGTAGTTTTTTTTTTATTTTTTATAAAGAAATTATTGCTTAATTGAACTGAATAACTTGCGTATGTATATACAGTGTGTGTGTGTGTGTTTTTGTGTGATCCGAGTAGGTTTGGTTTGAACTTTGAAGAACTAGTTTGAGGAGAATGGAGATCATGTGAATCCCAAAAGAGGATGCACACTGAGTTTTTATATATATAAAGGTCACCGCGGTTCGGTTTCAACGGACCACAAAAGTACTAAAACCGGGAACCGAACCGCTCAAGAATTAATCGGTTTGGTTAACCAAGTGATGGAGTTACGGCGGATGTGATGCTGCCCCATCGGTGTCTTTTAACGGCCGGTTTTGTCTGTCCCATTTGGTGCCACTCGGTTTTTTAGTTATCTTGAACAACCGTAGTTGTTAATACATGTTATGGCTTTTCTCTCTCTACTTGTATTTAAAAGAAAAGGTCAATTTGGTGAGAAAAATGGCATAGCCAATAGTAACTGCATCAATAAAAGAAAAATTTTGGCCTTAGTTAATTTTTGTTAATTAGTTTGCTTTCAAAATCATACTAAGCTTATGCAACGTTGCAGCTGCGCCCACATCTGAGGGGGTCGCCCCTGCAATTTTGATCACGGACAATGCATTGCAGTACTTGAATAAGATGAGATCTGAACGGAATGAAGATTTGTGCTTAAGAATTGGAGTTAAGCAGGGTGGTTGCTCTGGCATGTCTTACACAATGGAGTTTGAAAATAGAGCAAACGCACGACCGGATGACTCTATCATTGAGTATAACAGTTTTGTGATCGGTATGTTCTCAAATTGTCCTTCATCTAGTTATGTCAAGATGCAACTATTAATGTTGATTGATGGTTCATAAGATTAGTACTGGATGCAGTAAAGGGGAATGTTAAAATTTCAAAGAATGTCGATAAAATATGTTTCTCTTCGAGATTTTTTTTGTTTGTTTTAGAAATAGCTCCTGAAAGTTTGCTTTTGGAACTTGCTGAGAAGATTGACGTCAGGAAATTTAGCAGGACAAGTAGAAAAACTATAACCTTGGGAATATAGAAGGGGAGAAAGAGAAGATAGGAAAGAGAATAATATGGAAGAGAGCAAATGGGACAATATCCTATAGGAAAATACATAGTATTATTATTCACAGTAAAGGTAAATAGCTGCTAATGTTAAAAAACCAAAACAACCTGAAATCTTTAACTATCCCAAATCATATGGGGAGTATAGGATCTGAATTAGATTAGAATATTATTTGCCATACATAAGAACGTTTGGGCTCTGCTACGGGACATAGAGCTAGGAGAGAAAAATAAAATTGAGATAGAGAAATAGAACGTAGAGAGTTTAAGAGAGACAGAGAGATAAAAAGAGAGAATTCAAGAGTGAGATTGAGTACTATGGATAAAGTGTTTAAACATTTTCCTTTATCTCTAATATTGTTAAGTTGGAGGGATGTAGAGTTCAGGGGTAGGGCCTGCACGAGCATAATTGCTTAAAGGCGTTTAGTTGTTAGCTGGCTTAGCGGCTTGTTAGTGCGCTTGTGCCTTCCGGTGGAGTTACGTGAGCGGCCTCTGAGTTCTAGACTCGAATTCTAGCTCTCAAAACTTATGAGTGTTGGATTCTTAAGTGAGATCCTGCGTTTTTTTTCCTGTTTTATAACTGTTTTTTTTTCCTCTCTGTTTTTTTCCCTAACCAAGACGGACCTACATATGATCTTTATAGATTTAGAAAAGGCATATGATAGGGTACTGACGTCAGTTTTATGGTGGGTGCTAGAAAAGAGAGGAGTGCATGTGAGGTATTTCAAGGTAATTAAGGACATGTACGATGGGGTGGTCACGAGTGTGAGAACTGCTAGAGGCTACACGACAGAGTTCCCCATTCGGATCGGCCTTCATCAAGGATCTGCTCTTAGTCCTTATCTTTTCACCATTGTGATGGATGAGCTGACAAGAGAAATCCAAAATAGAGTTCCTTGGTCAATGCTTTTTGCGGACGATATAGTTTTAGTTTATGAACATAGGGAAGGAGTTAACCATGAGTTAGAACTATGGAGACAAACTCTCGAGACGAATGGATTTAAGTTAAGTAGGACGAAAACTGAATACATGCATTGTAGGTTTAGGAACTCAAGTAATAAGAGTGATGGAATTTCTTTAGATGGTATGGAGATTGAGGCTTCTAGGAAGTTTAGGTACTTTGGGTCTATAGTGCAGTACGAAGGAGATATAGAAGAGGATATTCAACATAGGATTAAGGCAGGGTGGGTTAAGTGGAAGAATGCTACAAGAGTTTTATGTGATGGTAATATGCTTATTAAGTTGAAAGGAAAGTTCTATAGAACTACAATCCGTCCAGCTATGTTATATGGTAGTGAATGTTGGGCCATTAAGAGACAACATATATGTAAGATGAGTGTAGCAGAAATGAGTATGTTAAGATGGATGAGTGGCCCTACGAGAATGGATCGCATAATGAATGAAGTTATTCGTAGTAAAGTAGGTGTAGCACCAATAGAAGATAAGGTGCAGGAAGGCCGCTTGAGGTGCTACGGGCATGTCCAACGTAGACCGCTAGAAGCACCAGTTCGTGCTTGGGAGGACATTCTCCTGCCTAATACTAGGAGAGGGAGGGGTAGACCAAGAATTACGTGGACCGAAGTAGTTAGGAATGCCATTCTACATTTAGGCTTTCAGGAAAGTCTAATTTTTGCGTGGAAAAGTGAAATCCATATAGTCGACCCCAATTAAATTGGGATTTAGGCTTGTTATTGTTGTTGTTGTTTTTCCCTAACCCCTAAACCCTAACTCCTACCTTGTATTGATTTCATTCCAATCAATAAAGGTTTGCTGTTTATTACCAAAAAAATAAAATAAAATAAACAAAGAGAGAGTGAGAACTCAAAGGGAGGTAAGTATGAAATTCAATATCAATTAACCAAGGTCTGAATTAAAAATATAATCGCTAGGCCTTTTCATAGAGGGAAGAAAAAATAATAATAAGATAAATCAACCTAATAATCAGACTAACATAACCAAACCTAAACCCTGAAAGAAAAACATAATATCAAATTCCTAACTAAATCAATTTATTAAAGATAAATAATATCCTATTGTCTATAACCGGGTCTTCAAGATGTTGACTCCTCCATTAATTATGTTAGAAACTACCATGAAGAAACTGTGCAACCTCAAGAAAATCTTCTATCCAAGTCATTGATTATTGATGAGTAAGTAGCAAGTTGAGAACTGTTGAATCATCTTCATTCCACCCTGTATCAGTAGAACCAAGATGAATAGGACCAAAAAACAAAGGGCTTTTACCACGATCTTTCCAGCACCCAGAAAAAGCCATAGTGCCAAGCGGAGAAGAAGAAAAACTAAGTAGAGAATAAAAAAGGGAACGAAAACTGGGAGAATGAAGGGAAGAATGGAGGGGAGGAGGATCACAAAAAGGGGTGTGAATAATATGATTGTGCACAGGTCCATGACTGATGAAGAAAAGGAAAAAAAAATAATATATGGGAGGAAAAAAAAAAAGAGATCAAAAAAGAGAAACAATGAACTATCTTTAATAATCGTTTCTGGGTGTGCCCGGGGAGGAAGAACAAGAAGGGAAGGAAATGAGAGCTAGCAGGTGGTAAAGAAGGGTTTGGGCAATTTACTAGCACAACTTATAGTTTCTGATAATCTGGCTTATTTTACGATAAGCAATCCTGATTGATTTAGGAAAACCTTTTCACTGGATGGGGGAGGAAAGAAAAAGGAAACTGAGTCCTACTTAAATTAGGGAACTCTATATTGAAAGAAGGGTAAAGAAGGGTTTGGGCAAATTACTAGCACAACTTAGATAGTTTCTGATAATCTGGCTTATTTAACGATAAGCAATCCTGATTGATTTAGGAAACCTTTTCACTGGATGGGGGAGGAAAGAAAAAGGAAACTGAGTCCTATTTAAATTATGGAACTCTATCACAATATTGAATGTAAAAGAGTGGCCACTAAAAATATTAAGGAAAATAAAAAAATTATCTGGTTACTTGATTATTATCCCAAATTTTATTGGACATTACAGGATCTGCGATTTAGTGGGGAAAAAAGGAAAAAGAAAATAGGAAGTCGAAGAAGACTAGGGAGCAGTGGTTTCTTCTAATTTACACGGTGTTTCCAGATTTTATATCAGCACTAGGTTTTTGAATTCTATATATACTCTTAAAAAAGTAAAAATAAAATAAAAACCTACGTCCCCTGAACTTCTTGTACTTTTACACTTTCAGCCCTAAAAATCTTTTCTTGACAACTTTAGTCTTTGAATTTACAAAAAGTGGTAGTGATTAGCTCCAGTTCTTATTGGGGGTTGAATTTTCGGAATAATTATGTAGTTTTTTTTAGCAAGTGCGCCTCAAACTCTCATAGTTTGGCACTTATGTCCCTTAAACTCTCATATTTCCTTAGACATTTGAACAGGAATATCTTAGTATATCTGTTATTGCAAATAAAATTATTATTTCGAACTTATCTAGATTGTTGAAGGATATAAATGGAAAAACACTGCTTGAAGGGTATCATTCTGTGCAATCTCATAGTGGGCATCAGTTTTCATTTGCTTGTGAATTATCTCAATATTTCTTTTATACCTTATATACGTGTGTCTAAACTAAAAACGCTTTTTTTTTCCTTTTTCTTCTACTACTTTTTTTTTTCCCTGATCTTTTTTCCACTCTTCAATGGTTTTGCAGTGTGTGATCCGAAGAGTCTTCTCTTCCTATTTGGCATGCAATTGGATTACAGTGATGCTCTTATTGGTGGAGGTTTCTCTTTCAAGAACCCCAATGCTACACAAACTTGTGGTTGTGGCAAATCCTTTGCAGCAGAGATGTAGGATTAATTATGCACATTAAACAGTCAAAACATATAATGTATAGAATACAATTGTACTTGCCTTTTTTTCCCTTCTTTATTTTTTCAAATATTATTGGTATAATATAAGTTATATAACATAAGAACTTGGTGATACCGCGGTGATGTGAACGTGATAGAAATGGTTTTCTAAAGGGAAAAGTGCCATAATGCCCTTTTATAATATCATTTTTATTATTGACCTCTTTAATTATAAGAGTTATTTTCATAAATACCTCTTGAACTATGTACCTTATTTTAAAGTGCTATTTGATTTTTTAAAACAGTAGGCCCTGTTTATTTCACCGATTTAAGTTTAGAATTCGAGTTTTGCTACAGTAAAAAACTCTCAGAAATAATCACATCTAATTTTTTTGTTACAGTAAAAAATTCTCATATAAAATCACATTTCAACTCAAATTAAAAACTCGAATCAGCGAACTAAACGGGTCCTTAAAACACCTCTAAATTTATAACAATTCATTCAAAATACTCCTTTCATCTAAATTCAAAATGCTCATTTCATCTAACTCCGTCTATAATGCTGCCATATTTTGCTAATGTGACACTTATTAAAGGTTTATAAAAGGTATTCAAGAATATAAAACCTAATTTTATTAATAAAACTTAATTATTAATAAAATAACCAATTATAGTCTACGTATAAAATTAGTCAAAAAAATATAAAGTAAAACTAAAAAAGAAACAAAAGAATTCGTACACTTGCTTTGCCATTGTCGAAAACCAAAACAAATCTGAGAATTGATTTTCGTTCAAAACTACAAATAATCAAAATGCAAAAGCTAAAACCAAATTAGATGAAAACCCCGCTATTAGGTGTCGTCATTGTTAGAAACAAAACTCGTGAATTCTTATTGAAGGCCAAGATTTACAAATTTTTGGGAAAGTAAGATCTCAGTGATGGATGGCAATTGCAGCGGTGGTAGGCATGTCAGAGGCATAGGGGTTGGACATGGCGATGGAGGCGAGTTGAGCGGAGTCACATAGGTGACTGGTGGCGGCGGTGGCAACGAGCTTGACGGCCATGGCCATGGCATCGCGCCGGAGTGGGTTATTCGCCGAAGGAGGTCCAAGGTTCGCGCACGGATGAGGGCGGCAAGGCTTCGGTTGCATGGCGGTTAGGCGACGGGGTCAGAGGGCCCCTTTTTCCCTTTCTTTTTTACAAATTTGGGTTTTTTTTTTTTTTTTTTTTTTTTCACATATCTGGGTTTTTCGCTTTTGAAATTCAAGTTTATTTAAGGAGACATTTTGTTCATGGATTAGAATTATTTTCGATTTACGTATATTTTTTATGAAAAAAAATATTGTAGCAAATCATAAACTATAATTCGAATCAAGGTATGAATCCCCTTACCAAACGTCACCTAAATTTTGTGGTGTCTAATAAACTTGAAGAAAACAAAAAACAAAAATAGTCAAAGCATTTTTTAAAATTGTTCATCCCCAATGTCTCCGGTCATAAATGAGTCGTTTGAATTATGAATTCAGAATTATGATTTATAATTATGATTTTTAAAATTTAAATTTTTTATGAGAAAAAAACATTATAGAGAATTAATAACTATTATTTAAAACTAAGAACGAACTCTTAAAACAAAGATCCTAGAAGTTTGTTCTTCTTTAACTTCATCAATGAAGACTTAGTAGAATCAAAATAAGAACTCTCATTGCAATAAAATTGTTATTTTTTATTTTAAATTATATGTTTTTTATTATTTTTTTAATATATGTTCAAATTACAAGAGTATAAAAGTCATATTATGAATTTTTTAACTTTTTTTACTTACCACCACGTAGGCACTTCTGTTAGATTCATAAGCGAGAAAATAGACGGAAGGGTTCTGCCAGATTCATAAGCGGAAGTAGACAAAGGGGTTGTTTGAGCTCATTGTCTATAGATTAGAGGGTGTATTAAATTATTTTGAAAGATCAATAAACACTTTAAAATATGATACATAATTCATAAGGTATTTATGAAAGTAGTCCTAATTATAATTGTCCTTTTATTAGAATAGATCAACTTAAGTAAACTAAAATAAAAGGGGCAAAAAAAAATAAAAAATAAAAAGGATGGATAGTAGTGAACAAATAGGGCAATATTTGATTTCACATTTAATTTGAAGGGTTAATTCTTAAAAAAAAAAAATCATTCAAAAAAAAACTCTAAAAGATTTCTCTTTTTTTTTTTTTTTTTTTCAAATAGTTGTATCTGTCGGATACTTAGTCCTTTGTGTTCCTTGAATAAGAAGTAATCTTTTTCTCCAATGGAGACTCGTCAAAGTAAAAAAGTAATTTACAATTTTTTTTTATGGAGAAGTCTATGATAGGATGATGTCCTTTTTTTCTACCAGTAGGATGATTATCGGAACCAATAGATTTAAATCTAACGATAAAAAGAAATGAAAGGGCATCTAATTAAAAATTGACCTTCCAAATATGATTAAATGCCTATTACAACATTGATATTCTGAAGAGGCAAATAACAAAAAAGGGCATGTTTATGGTAGGGGGACTTGAAATTCCCTGCTAGTAAGGTGAAAATAAAAACCGTCAAATTTAAATCACGCGGTGGAAAATATGAAATAGTAAGAAATTAAAATAAAACCCACCACACCACATCTAGTAAAAATCCTAAAATTTAAAAAAAAAAATTTGAAGGACAAAGAAAAAAAAACATAAGTATTGTCGATGTCGGTGCCGATGAGTAGCCATCGCCAGTGGGGGAGATGCAGAGGTTTTGCGCCGCCTTGGAGAAGGGAGGTTGACTGTTAGGAGGTCGGTGTAGTTCACTCAAGACCAGAACTTCGTTGATGGAGTTCGCAAAAAGCATGATCGTGCTGGTTCCCGAATCGAATTCGGGTGCGGAAGCGTGGGCATGAAAAACAGCGGATCGTGTATAACAAAAATTTTTCATAAAACTTTTGAGATACTCTATAGATTATATTAATTTATGCACGAATAAATTAATCACATTAATTTACATCATTCAAGGATCAACCGAAAAATACCTGGAAGCCGACTCGGATGATAACTTGAATTTCTTTGACCACGAACAGTCCTTGCTCCAAGCTTTGTGTTTAGAATACCAAAGTCTTCCACGTCAATTCCTTGATTCCACGTAGACGTATGTGTGGGCACACGTGAGACAAAATAGGTTTCTTAAACACTCGAATTTCCACAAACACCAACGCATGCATGATGTGGAATTTTTGGAGAAAAATATTTTGTTCTCTTTTTCCTCTATGAGAATTTCGGCCACACTCAATTAGGGCTGAATAATGTCTCAAAAATTGTCTTTACAATTTTCTATCTTTCTCATATTTAAAGAGAAGAAGTCAAACTTTAAAATAGAATCAAATCCTTATCTCTAATTTTTGAATTTGGAACAAAAAATCCCTTCCCCTTATCCACTTGGTGGCCGGCCACACTCTAGGGTTTTATCCCTGTGTGTGGCGCCTATCTCAGATAGGGAAGGAAGAGATTTTATCCTTTATCCAGTAGTCCAATTTTAATTTAGATTCAAATTCAAATTTAAGTCAAAATTAAATTAATTTGAATTCTAAATTGAACAACTTATCAAATAAGTTTAAATGGATAAATCTAGATATGTTCAAATTCAAATTTAAATAATCACATTATTTAAATAATAA